TTATAGGCGCTTTCCGGTATGGCTTTGAGTTCCCTCTGCGAATTCTGTTTTACGTCTTCTATGGATTCAAAACGCGTTCCTCTGAGTGGTAATTTGAGGTTGGGAAACAGGAAAAAGTCACACGGTGCAAGATCAGGTGAATACGGTGGCTGTTCGATGGTATTTATTGAATGTTTGGCCTTAAAATCGTTGATAATGTTGAACAAATTGAGGTGAATCGGAACAAGCCGGGCGTTGACACGTCGCATACACAAATTGTCCACCAAAATCAAACGAGCCATCTCACGACCGATGCCTAGCTCTCGTGCTATCTCTCTAACACTCACATGAGGATTTTTGAACACGATTTCCTTTGCCTTTTCAATGTTTTCGTCGGTGGTAGAGGTCGAAGGTCGTCCAGAACGCGGCATGTCTTCGACGGTCGTACGACAGTCCTGAAAGGCTTTGTACCACTCATAAACTTGAGTTTTCGATAAAACTGATTCCCCATAAGCCTTTTGTAGCATTCGCAACGATTCTGCACACGAAATTTCGTTCGAAAAACAAAATTTGATGCAAACTCTTTGTTCAATATTTTTTTCCATTGTTTTTTTCGCAACGCACTACTGAGGTGAACTGGTTTCAACAGCTGCCGTAAACGAACTGTCCGACAGGAGATCGCCGTCTTCATTTTTTGGCATAGTAATTTAAGGACATGGCTGCCAAACTGACGTTAAACTCTTAAAATATCGAAAAATATACAGCGCGCGAATTTTAAATGAGAATTTCCGAAAACTTTTCAGTCACAATGTATATAACATTTATTGGTGTTTCACTATACCCGTAATTTAATATGAAAAATAATAATTGTTTAAAAGCCAAAAGTTCATATGATTCCGTAATATTACATGCTTTTATTTTATGGAGAAAACAAATGAATAATTATTAGACACAATTATTGTTATTGATATGGGATGTGGCACTGAGGCCGTCGGGTCCATTGTACCCCCTTGTGGGTTTAGAGTAAATCTCTAAACTCTGTTGCTTCGATACGAGGTTCACTATTTATATTTTGAGCCTAATAGTGACAAAATACTAACTTATCGTTGAAAATTGCTTAATTGTTTCTCGAAGTATTCTTCTTTATGATTAATACACTTTTGTATGCGTTCGAATCATACGTCAAAGAATTTTATTTTCTAATCTTCAGACACCTCCAATACATGGATTTTAAATGCAACAACTTTTTCTTCCGCCGACAGAAATCTCTGAACGCAGAATAGCGTTCAGTAGTCTTCGTAGCGTATGGAACTCAAATGAAATACCTCCTAAAATAGAAATTCATGTTTACAATGCCTGTGTAGAATCCATCCCATTGTATTGATCAGAA